AAAAAAAAATGGGACAGAGGTGCAAGATGTCCTTTTTCAGGTAGCTGTTGCCATAATCTATGGGAATTTGATCATGGAAGCCTCTCCTCCCCTCCCCCCCAGCCCCCATAAGTTAAGTCAAAGTTTCGTCTACAGGGAGCTCGGCATCCAAATATATATATATATATATATATAAATATATATGCATTTTTTCGCGCCGCGCCAGGCAGCATTGCGCCGCATTTGGGTGCCTCGGCAATCGGTCGACGAAGCTCTTGTTAGTGTAGTTTGGTTGGAAATAGATGAGCCACAATCGAAACCCGGGGATTGATGAAGGTTAGGTAAGGGAAACTCCCAGCCATAAGTAGCTGCGGAAGTCCGCCGTCTTAATTCTTTACATGGCTTGCGGCCGTTAATTCTTGAAGCATGGCTTCGGGTAGAGCATGTTAATACCGGGTTTTGATTATGACTCAGATGGTTCTACTGGTGTACATGGGCTTGTTGCCCCACTTGCGAGGACACAATGGTTTATCCATAATGTGAAAGGTAGGGAAGCCAACAGGAAAACCTCGAGTTTTGGGGTGCCACTATTTTGAGACAGATCCGTTTGGGTTTGTCTCAAAATAGCAAGCGGAGTCCAACCAACATGAGCGATTGCCTTTTTGTCCCAGTAAAGTTTTGTTTTTGGGGCCCTGAGAAAAAAGAAAACAACAACAACACGCCCATTTGGAGGCATTCATTGCGGTGGGTTGCCGGAGGAACTTGCAACATCATGAACGGGGCCAGCCAGGCAGGGCCCGCACTCGCCACGGACGACGACGCCTGGCGATTCCCGAACCACATGGTAGCGACACTTGGGGTTGGGCCTTGTTTGGGTACCCTTGTCCTTTTTTTTTCTTTCGTTTTTTTTTTTTTGGGCGGTCCTCTCTTTTTTGACATGAGCCCCCACTTTGAGGGGCTCCCTGTATGTATTTTCTCAAAGATCTTGCAGGTGTCAGAAAAGCTGAATCTGGCGTTGGCACTTTTCAGGCAGATTTTGAGGACCCGCAACCTTGGGCACGAGTCGGAATTTGAATCACCTCTTTTTTGACATTAAGAGCACTAGAAGAGGACCAACAGGGGGAGAAGAATATTCTCTAGATTCCGAAATCCCCCAAAAAGCGTGCCAAGGGTTTCGCGCGCTCTTAACAAAAATCACCCCCCCCCCCCCCAACTTGGGAAAACGCTTTGCTGCGCTTAGCCCCCTACAAGAAATTCGAGGATTTTGTCACCCCCCGGTCGCCTGGGGAAAACGCTGCCGAGCGCAGCGCAGGTGGCGGCGATGGTCGGCTGGGCCCCGGGCTGCGCGGGGCTGTTTCTGGTGGGGGACACCGGGCCGCTGTGGCGCTGCCTGATGGCGGCGCTGATTTTGTTCGCCACCTTGATGCGCCTCGGATCGATCCGGGTGGAGGTTTCAAAACGAAAGCTTCACTGTTCTTGGCATGTCTTTTGTTTTTTTTTTTTTGGTTCCGTCCATTTTTAGTAGGCGGCTGAACAAACACAAGGCTTTTTGCTACCAAGGGTTGTGAAGAAAGGGATCCGATTATTGGGGTATGGAAAGGGATCTCTTGGAGGTGTGGAAGGTTAAAATCCGATGAAAGGGGTTGAAGAATGGGAAAGGAACTCGAGGTATGGAAGGGTTCCACATGTCAGATGGGATCTCCTTTGCACATCAAAAAAAGTGTCGGGTTTACTTCATATGGGCGTGTCCGTTAGGGAACCCCCTTATCATGATCGTTTTCCTTTTGGTTTCCTCCTCTTGAAACCAACCCAAAGATACCCCAAGGGGGTTCCCTCAAAAAGGACGAGCCACCCATATGGACCAGAACTAAACATAGTTTTGAGGAACAGGCGCTTGGGATGTGGATGAGTTGGGACATGGCCTGTACAGCTTTCTCGTGGCCTGCCAACTGCGGCCAAGGGTCAAAAGGCGGGCCGTTGCGCGGCTTTGATTCTATAGATTGGTTTGAAGGTCCCAGCTAGGTGCCCGCTCTTTCACCCCCTTTTTTGGTTGGGAGATTCGGTTGCCCTACTAAAACAGACAAAAAGGGAAAACATGGTACCAACCAGAGTTAGCTCCCCCCTTTTTGCCTTTTTGCATCTTTTTTGGGGTTCCCTTTTTCTTTTCCACTAAACCAGGCAAAAAATATATATGTATTTTTGCTGGGGTTCTAATTCCAGCCTAGCTTTGGGCATGCTGCTCAGATGCATTTAGAAATTTAGATGCCTGGGGTCACCACTGGGGTCTCCCAAAGCGTGAGAGAAGACTCTATTCGACAGCCAAACTGAATGATTGGGTGCGTTCGCCTTTAAACAAAAATTAAAAATAAAGCGTGGACGTAGACTTTTGACTCTTACCTACGAAGTGATTGTTTTGTTGCGGTTCCAACCAGGAGCCGGGATTCAGGCCGGAGTCGTTGGAGTCGATGTCCGTTTAGAGGGGATCCTCATCGCACCGAGCGATGCTGAACATCAAAGGGGCTTCCTCTTTCCTTGTCAGCGTTGACTTGGTAAGTGGTATGTAACCATTGCCGAGCACTTGAGTTTGGTTCCTCTTTGTTTTTGGAACCAGCGAAGCCTTGTTTCGATTTTGATGCCAGGTCGGTGGTGGGCATGATGTACACAGACAACTTCGTCCCGGAGATGCACTGCATCTCCGGCTGAGAGGTTCTTCGCGCCTCGCCCGGCACGGGCGAGCGCTTGGATTGGCGGCCGGGAGATGCGCTTGCCGTGAGTTGCTTTTTTTTCTTTTCTGTTTTTAGCCGAGTCTATGAAACCTCGCTTTGGAGGACGCCAACAAAAGCCCTTACACTCTTACCAAGAGGGGGTATCCGGTACACATCCTTTGTCCAAGCAGCACGGCTTCTGAGGAGTTCCGGGTTTCTTTGTCAGCATGGGTCACCTTCCAAACACCCGACGGCATGGTCCACTGGCCAAGGTAGTCCTTCAGGGCGCAAGTCCACAAGTTCCCAAATCCCCACATCCCCAAGAGTCCCGGAAGGCCCCTCAGTTTTTTTTTTTTTTTTTTTTTTTTTTTTTTTTTTAATATCCCGCAGAAGGCCGCTCTTTTTTGGTTGGAGCCAAGAGCCCAAGTTCTTCGGGTGGCATCTTGGCATCCTGGGACAGGTTTGTTTGCGGCTGTGCAATCTCTGCGCTCCTAGCAATTTTAGTGGCAATCGTACTCCCTTGCTTTTGCGACTTTTGACTTGGCTGCCTTCCCCGCAACTGGCAAGATGTTTTCTCACTCTGCGGGGTCTTTTCCAAGTGCGTTCGTAGGTGGGTATCGCCCCGTGGTTTTTGAACAAGAAAGCACCTCCACCAACAGCTCCCGCCAAAAAGCCTTCCCTTGAGGAACATTGACTTCTGGGGGGCTCCAGTCAGGTTCCATGGCAATGCGGGAGGAGAGTCCTATACCATTCCACAAGGAACCGAACCGCTCCAGGAACCCGCTCCAGGCGCTCTTAAAAGTTGTTTACCCCCTGCGGATGGGATCAGGGGGGGTTGTCTTTTTCTCACCTTTGGTGGGAAAATGATATCGACCCCCTAGTGAAGGATTCCTTTTTGAGGGGGTCGCCAATTTTCTCACAGGTGGCGAAAAGACCCCCCTTCCCCTGACGGGATTTCATAAAAGATCAGCCACTCAGGCAATCGCTCGGCGAATTCAGAGGGCGCGCTCTCGAGCGCGCAAGCTGCCCAGGCCTTTCACCGCTTTTGGTCCCTACCCGCAGGCCCCGGCCAAAGCTCCGCCTGGGCCGGATTCCTCCGCGGGATGGGCATCAGCTGCCCATACTGAGGGCTTCCGGGAGCGAAAGGCAGCGCAAGAAATGGCTCCTTTTGGGCGGGTGGGTTCAAAGGGGTACCCTCAAAAAGCGACACAGTCCTAAAAAAAACGGAACCCTTGTTTTTGTGGTTTTAAAGTTTTAAAGGGGAACCAAAAGGAACCCACCGCTTTTTGGAGGGGTCCAACCTTAAAAGAGAGACTCCCAAATGGCACAAACTGGGCGCATTCCTGGAGCGCGTCACCTTGTTTGGTAGGGCCAAACAAATTCTTTGCTCCAGGAATCGTGGCCTGATCTTGTTTTCAATGTGTCCCCAAAACGAATACAGTAGAAAAAATCTGTGATGTCACTGGCAAGGCTGGCGAGATTTACCGACCAGGTCAATTTGTGAGAATCATCATGCCCATGAGCATGAAAGTTTCTTTAGACACCTGGACCACGACTTTTTTGTCCTCAACGGCTGAAGATGTCAGGAAGAAACGCATGATTCTTTATGATTTTAAGTCGGGAGCCCCGCGCAAGTGGGGCGGTTATCAAGCACCTAAATGCTCTCCACCAAGAGGTCCCTAATTGCAACCCGCGCGTGGCGATCCTGTAGACAGCCTGTAGAGTTTCCGCCATTTCCTTTTTTTGAACCTCCCAAATTGGATCGATCGCTTTCTCAAGGGAAACCACCAGTAAGTTGGTCTCAGCTTTTGATTTGGGGAACATTTCCAACTGATCGAATCTGGTGTTTGGGATGGTTGGCTGAATCCAGTGACCCCTGAAATCTAGTGGCCCCTGTGAGTGGTTTGGATGTTTGGATTGTGAATTGGTGAGTCCTGTCCTTCTGGCAGAGAGGCGTTTCTGCGTTTCCGCTGTCAGCCCCCTGGAGCTCTCATCCCACGCTTTCGGCCGTTGAAAAACGCCTTCGGCGCGTGCGCAAAAAGAGACCTGCGGCGGGGGCCCGCAGAGCCGGGGGTCGGGTCCCGCGGAGACGCGGTTCGCCCCTTCTGTTTTGGCCCACAGGTGTCCTTTTTGGTTGTTTCGGTCGAAAAACAGAGGGCGATTCCTGCTTTACCTGCTGTTTTTTTTTCTCATCTACCAGGGACACCCATCCATTTCCAAGCAAAAAGGACACCTACCCTCCAACCAGAAAAAGCCTCTGGCTGGGAGAGCTGGGAACCTCCCCAACAGCTCCAACCCCCCCCCCCCCCTCCCCAGGTGGGCTTCGCGGTGGCGAAGCACTCCGGGGAGACCCCGGAGAACCTCCTGGAGGCGCGGTCTGGGACCCGAGCCAGCGGTCTGGGACCCGAGCCAGGGGTCTGGGGTGTGGGCGGGGCTGGGGGCTGGGGGCTGGGCGGCTTTCAAGCGAGGGATAGAACCCACCAGCAAATGGGTCTGGGTCAAAATCAAAAAACCGCCAGGAATTGGACCCGCAGGCTTTAGTCCATATTTTGTATTTACCAGGTTGGGGTACCTATTTTTGACACGCGACCAAATGAGCGTGCTCAAAACCCGAAGATTGGTGAAGGTTAGGGACGATCCCCTTTTCAGAAATAGCTGCGGACTTCCGGCTTCATCCTGTACATGGTTCTGGGTAGACCATTTTAGTACCAGGTTTTGATTGCGACTCAAATGGGTATACTCTCAACAACAAGCACCCATACTTGGATATTCAATCCACTTGGTAGGTAGGTTATTACCATGGTTAACAGGAATGCGCTTGTCGAGTTCTGTTTTAGACTCTAATCACTTAAGGGGTTTGGACCATTCTGGTGGTAAATAGAACGGTCGGACTTTTTTCAGGAAGTGAGAAGGGGAGGATCGCTCCAATTACACCAGTTAGAACCATGGCTATAACTTACTTACCTGACGTTGATTGAAGATGTAAGTGAGGGTGCGGCTGGGTGGTTTGCTGGTTCTCGGGAATAGTGGGGACCAGGTTCTATTTTTTGACTATCTCAAGGCAGACTTGAACCCGGTGATTGACTCATTCAAAAGGGAATCCCTGGGTTGAGCTCTACCTGGAGGTGGTCAAAATTTGGAACCTTGTTGAGAACTCCCAACAATTGAGATTCATTTGGGCAACTTGTACGAGCGCACCTGCTAAAGACGAGCTTACGATTTGTGGATTGTAGCAATCTGCCCAGATTCGCCCGATGTTTTGGGGGGAACAAGCGGCGTTCGCTCTCTTCACTGATTCTTGGTGCTGCCAACAATTCGCCTTTCTGGTGCGCGAGGCAGGGGCGACACGGAAGGAGCCTTCTAAATCATTCAACTGGTGGTTTCCTTCCAGGGACCCCCAAACGGTTCATCCCATTTCTCATTCCCTACCTATCGCGCCAACAGTTCGTGCTTTTGAATCAGGTGGACGAGGAAGTGCGAGGACCGCGTGGGGCGAATCGGGGCTTCAGTTTGGTCAACCTCCCCAGTCCACTCTGCAAGAGTGTAAATACCCTTTAAATACCGAACATGTGGCATAAGGGCACATATCAGGTGTAGCTTTCTTTAGGTGCGTGTGATTGAGCCTCGAGAGTTTGTGGTTTGGGACATCGGGAGGGTAGCCGCATAGTTTCGGTTTGTGTCTACATGGGATATGGGTTTGAAAGGGAAGCCAAAAGCCGTGTTGGGAGGTCCCCGAAAAAGACATCACGCATATGGACCCTCCCACAAAAAATGAGATAGAATGGGTGGCTTCCCTTTGGTTTTCCCGTAGCATCATCCCAAGAGTACCCTCAAGAACCACAAACAAACACAAAGGTTCGATGACCCTACGAGAACTTCTTCCAAGACACTTCCAGTCCGAACAATTCTTCTCCCTGTCTGCAAGGGACATGGGCAACCTTAATATGTCCTGGCAGCATATTGTTTCGTTTTTTTGGTTTTCCGCATTTGGTTCTGTTGCCTTTTTGGGCGGCGGGCTGCAAACAAAAGGTTAAGATGCAAATCGTGGAGGCTTAGGAGGGTCTTGGAATATGTCTTGGGAAAGTGCCTGTGGCAATTAGTGGTGATCACCCATGGGCTTCTTGAATGTGGCGCAGACCAAAGATTTGAATTTTGAGGAACCTTCCACTTGCAGCCTTGTGCCCGTAGTTATTCCCAGTCAAGAAAAGGGTTTTGCAGAAGATTCGAGATATATTTTGCTGGAGTGACAGGGGTTCTGTTTCATACGCAAATACATTGAGACATACTGACATCGCAAATGCCGAAGCAATCTATGGAAGTAGTTGTGAAATTCGGCAATGGAGCGGAAAGTGACTGCCCTTCGGCGTTGCTTGCAAGAGTTTATTGATACCCTATCATCTGCGCAATTTCCAGCCGCCTCTGCAGCCTCAGATGCTTTGCTGCAAGCGCTTCGTGATGAATTTGAAGCTGTCGGTTCTTTGCCAAGACGCCGCCCAGGATTTCAGAAAAAGACTGTTCGGCAGCTGCAAAAGCAGAATCAGAAATTGAAGAAGAAAGTGGAGCGGTTGCAGAGAGAGCTCGCAGCAGCGAAATCTGATAGGCAAAATGGTCGGATTGCTGCAATGTGGTACATTCGCACTGCTTTTGCAGATCCTAAAGTACCCTTGCAGTCGCTCGCCTCTTGGTGTGCGAATGTTTACGAGGAAGAAGTTAAGGCCATATCAAGAACTCGCATTGCAACTGCCAAAGATGCTATGTGTGAGCTTGTAAAGCGGCTGAACTGCGAGGAAATTTCGCAAATTCCGGATGTATGTTCAGAGACCATTTTTGTACGGCATGTCCACGACGAGGCTTTGATGCGGCTCAGGCAGGGCATTCCAAGCCACGATCATTGTTGAAGAAGCCTACTGCACGTTTAATTTTGCGTTTTAGGTGCGAAAGGGAGGCCACACCATTGTGGGAAGAAAGGGGCTCAAGTTAGGTGTGGAGTGATATCAACCAAAATAAATTTCCCTTCGTCCCCCCAAGATGGACAAAGCTCCACATCCATTAAAAAAAACTAGGCATTTTTGGTTTTCTTTTACCACAAACAACTATACCTTGGATTGAGGAGTTACAGACCGGATGCAGCAATAGCTGGGCGCATTGTGCGTGGGAAGTACTCAAAAGTGCAAAACAATGTATTAGAGTTTTTCGCCGGTGCTCACAGGAAGGAGATTTTCACTGATCTTCAATGTTTAGACCGGAAAGACGCTCTCAGCATTGGCTGGGCGATCATTCAAGTCATGGAGACGGTTATCAATGCATTGACCTTGCCTCGTGACCTGCCTCCGCAATCTTGCCGACTGATTCATTGCCTTACTGGCGATGGAATTGCTACAAATGCCAAGGCAGGCAGGCACATTCTGGCATATTTCCGCCGGACTCTCGCGGCCGGGCCGCTGGAGTATTGTTTGATCGTAGTCCGCTGCGCAAGCCATGCGGCCTCTCTGGTGGTGCAGGCAGGTATCACTGGAGATTTGATGCGCGACGCTGTCAACCGGTGCGACCTCACTGCAGCTTGCAGCCGATTTTTCAAGCACATTCTACCTTCGAATATGGAGGACGTGCATGGCTCCCTGCGGACATGGCTGGATACCCATGGTGAAGAGCTTTTGGCCAATGGCGTTCCTATGGGATTGGAAACTTTGTACAGCTCGTTTGTTTTGCCGGAGGAGCTGCTTGCCTTGCTGAGGGGTCCGGCGGGCCCTGTGGACCTCCGGCAACAGATGCGGCAAATTTACATTTGCTTATCCAACACATGCTTGCTTGCGCAGGAGCGCCCTGTTCCTACCCGATTTTTCTTGTTCTCCCCGTGCGCGCCGTGAAATCGTTGGCAAAGCGTTCATGTCGTTCTTCCGACAAATCGCTTCGGGTTGAAACTCAGGGACTGGGGCACACGTTGGTGTCATGCCACGCGCGCTTGCTGAGCTCAGGTGCGGGCGCTTTTGAGATTGAAGCTGCTTCGGATTCCAAGCGCGGCACTCCGACCCACAAGACAAATGGCAAAGGAGGGTGCTCGCCGCTGGGAGCGCTTTGTTCATTTCTACGACAGCCTGGAAGCGTTGCAACGGCTGAAGAAGGTTGCTTTGTGCCTTCTGTTGACAGATGTTGCGTTGGCAATCACGGCGCAGAAGCCCGAGAAGGCCGAGGATAGGGATCCCACCATGGTGCGACTCAGTCGCGGCGAAGTGCAGCGCAGGGCTTCGAGGCAGCTAGCTGCTGTTATACCTCTTTTGGAGTTGGATTCTGAGCTGCAGGCAACGGACGTCATCGTTGGCTTGCTAACCACCCATGGCCACCTGGTAGTCAGATTTGCCGAATATGCGAACTGGCCGTACAGGATTTGGACTTTATGCGCTCGTTGGAATCCAAGTGGTTATCTTGCAGCGATTGAGCTATTTTTGGATCTGCCGGAAGCTGCTTTAGACATCGGATACGGTCTCCCATTGCAGCAAGCAGCTCTTAAACAAGGGTCCATTGCTGGGGCAATTTCCTTTCTTGTATCCGACGCGCAGCAGAGTGAACTTGAACAGACACTCCAGATCCTCTCGGCGTCGTCTCTGGACGTTGAGAGGAAGCATGCGGCAGACAAGAAACAGGAGCGGACGCGCGTCTTGTCTGTCGCAGCTGCTTCACGCAACACAGTCTTGCAGCGATATTGCACCAGGCGCCAGGCTGCGATTTCTGCAGACATGACGGAGCGCTCCAAACATCACAAACGGTTGAAGCTGTCTGCTACTGCGCTTGCTGTGCAGCGCAACCCTGACTGGTTTCCCAGATCTGGAGGGTTCCTTGGCGAGCGGTATCGCCACGCTGGAAATATGGAGGCGTTGCGTGCCTTTATAGCTCAGAACCGGGAAAGTCTGGAAGCTGAAGCTGCGGCCATCAGGCGCGAGGCGAAACAGGCCCTTGCCGTGAAGGACTTACCCGTGCTACCGCTCACCAACGCACAGTGGCTGCAATTCTTGGAGGCCCGGGGTGACGCATTTCGCGAGTTACTACGAACTGCCACAGAAAGCCGACGTGGTTTGTCTGCGAGGCTCGTTCCTCCAGCTGACGGTTTGCCTTTGGCTCCTTCGCTAGCACCTGCAGCCCCCCCTGAGCAGCCAAAGATATGGGAAAAGATATTGCTGCAGGAGCGACGGGGCTGGTTTGCCTTGACGAGGGTCGGAGTGCGGACGCGTGTCTGTGTTTTTTATATCGGCTTGCGAGGTCAGGGCCACGTTCTTTTATTGCCTGAGGTTGGCCGGCAGCTGCTTGAGTTGCATGTGTCTTCATCGCTCCATGATGAATGGGAACCGGTGCGTTCTGTGGCAGAGCGGTATTTTGATGAAGGCGTTGCAGAGTTAGTGGTCCATTCCCTGGACATCCACGCGAAGCCAATGGAATCCGGATGCGTGAGTCTTCAGGTTGTCGGGGCGACCGAAGTCTCTTTGCGCCCGCGGAAGGCAAAAGGGGGCGTAAAGGAAGCGCAGTTTGACTCAGAGTCAGACGCTTCCAGTTTCCCAGGGGGCGCCCTAGATCTTTCAGATGTTGAAAGCCTCGAGTCTAATGAAGCTTCTGAAGCGTCCGATCTCCTTGAGGAGCCAGTTCCTGCACATGAGACAGACGCAGAGGCTGGCCAGCTAGAGGACGACCTTGATGAGCCAGTGGCAGACGCAATAGCAAGTGCTTCACATGTGGTGGCAGAGTATTCAAGCGCTTACTTTACAATGGAGAACTATTCCTTGGCAGGTCGTGGGCACGACGTGAAGATGCGGCTCAGGCCCAGATGGGCTACTGAGCAGCCAGAGGGACTGGGCAAGCAACAGCGCAGCAAAACGTTACAGATTTTGGCGCATGATGCCCGCGAAGAAGACCCTCACCTATCTTATATCTTGTTGCGGTGTTGGAGTTTGTGGCGTGCGTCCCAAGGCGCGTGGCTGGGGCATCGTGTCTCTAGACAGCGTTGGCATGATCAGGAAAAGGCTCGGGTGCGAGATGCTATCCGAGCACTGGAGCAGCCTGTGGGCACCACCGGCAATCCTGCTGCAGACCAGAAAATTCGGGCGTGGGCGCCAGATGTCTTGGCGTGAGCACTTTGCAGTCAGAAATGACGCAGCTGTGCGCAGATACCTGTACTTTCCAAGATGCTGCAGAAAATAGTGGAACGATAAATGAAATTTAGTGGGTTTTAGTGGAACTTAGTGGAGTTTAGTGGCGTATATAGTAGGGCAATGAAATGAGTTTTGTTGTAGTTAGTGGAGTTTAGTGGAAATTAGTTGTACTTAGTAGCAATTAGTGGATATTAGTGGCATTTAGTGGAGATTAGTGGCATTTAGTGGAAATTAGTGGCATTTAGTGAAGATTAGTGGCATTTAGTCGAAAGTCGTGGCAGTTACCTCCGCGTGTCCTGCCGCTGGGTTGCATGCCCCGCACACTTACATGTGTTTGTGTCTCCATATATATATATATATGTATTTATTCATTTTCCTCCGCGTGTCCTGCCGCTGGGTTGCATGCCCCGCGCACTTACATGTGTTTGTGTCCCCATATAGATATATATATATATATATTTTATATTTATTTTCCTCCGCGTGTCCTGCCGCTGGGTTGCATGCCCCGCACACTTACATGTGTTTGTGTCCCCTTATATATATATATATATATTTATGTATTTTCCTCCGCGTGTCCTGCCGCTGGGTTGCATGCCCCGCACACTTACATGTGTTTGTGTCCCCATATATATATATGTATTTATTCATTTTCCTCCGCGTGTCCTGCCGCTGGGTTGCATGCCCCGCGCACTTACATGTGTTTGTGTCCCCATATAGATATATATATATATATATTTTATATTTATTTTCCTCCGCGTGTCCTGCCGCTGGGTTGCATGCCCCGCACACTTACATGTGTTTGTGTCCCCTTATATATATATATATATTTATGTATTTTCCTCCGCGTGTCCTGCCGCTGGGTTGCATGCCCCGCACACTTACATGTGTTTGTGTCCCCATATATATATATATGTATTTATTCATTTTCCTCCGCGTGTCCTGCCGCTGGGTTGCATGCCCCGCACACTTACATGTGTTTGTGTCCCCTTATATATATATATATTTATTTATTTTCCTCCGCGTGTCCTGCCGCTGGGTTGCATGCCCCGCACACTTACATGTGTTTGTGTCCCCATATATATATATATATATATATATATATGTATTTATTCATTTTCCTCCGCGTGTCCTGCCGCTGGGTTGCATGCCCCGCACACTTACATGTGTTTGTGTCCCCATATATATATATATGTATATTTATTTATTTATTTTGCTCTGTGGCGCTGGCTTGCATGCCCTGCGCATTTACGCGCGCTTGTCCTCTAAAAGGATCGTGTTGAATGGACCTTTTGGTGGTGCCTTGGTGGTGCCGTTCGTTTTTCCGGGTCGATCCAACGCGGCCCGCAGCTTCCATGAGCATTTTGTCGCTTCAGGTGTTTTGGCTCCCTGACTCAAGGTCACTAGAGTGAATGGCGACGCTCACCCCGCAAGAGCAACAGGCTGCGACCGATGCCTTGAACGCCAAGGACTTCAGCGCCGAAGAAGTGAAGCTAGCGCAGCGTTCTGTGGATCGGCTTGTGCAGAAGAAGGGTCGGACTCCGACGCAAGATATGGTCATGATGTTTTGTGCTCTCAGGCGAGCCAGAGGACAAGGAGCGCGCATCAATCTATCCATGCTGGAGGGCTGGACCGGTCAGATGAGGCAGTCGACCACGGTCAAGCAGTCGCTTTACGTTGTGCAACAAGAGTCTTCAGCCCTATCGAACCCAAAGGTTGCAGAGGGCATTGTGCCTGCCAGTGACCTTGCAGATGTCCCACCGGGTCTTTTGGAGCAGGGTGTGGTGTTCGTTGACCAGGCGCCTTGATAAACTTGTATTGTTCGGAATGGGGGCATGGGGAGGTTTCGGGAATCATTATGGGGCGGTTTCCGCTCAGGTGGTGCCCCGCGAGTTGTTGGGCAAGAACGTCAGCGTGATTGAGTTAGCCTTGGGCGTGCATCGCTCCAGAGACATATCAGCCTCGCCCCACGCTTTGGGGGGAGATCAGCAAACAGTTGTGCCCGCGGGAGAAGCCTCTACAGACAATGTGGCGGAACCAGCCCCAAGCGCTTCGTCCCAAGACCTGCCGGAGGCAAAGCGCCAGCGGCTGCTGGTCCCTAGGATGAGCGAAGAGATGGGGGCTGACTCTGCAGCTGAGGAGATCGCAGAGAACTGCAAGCAAGCTTTCTTGGCGGGCCGCATCTCCTCCCAAGACGCACTGGACAGCACAACGGTGCTATTCTGGGTGCAGCGCTATGTGGAACACGTCACCAAGGCCTTTGAGGCTTTCCAAGGCGAACCTGCGCAGTTTCGTGGCGGTCTGAATGTGTGATTTTGGTATGACTCAAAAAAAGTAGGGGGCCCCCCCTTCCAAAAAGGCTGGTTGTCCTTTGGGTTTCCCGCATTAAACCAGAGCAAAAGAGGCCCTCAAAAAAGACACAGCGAATTGAAAAGAAAAAGCCACCGTGCGTTTGTTTTCGTGGCCAAACCTTCCTCTGGAATATATAGGCGCCCCACAGCCGAACTCCGCGGTAGCTCCGGGTTTGGGCTTTGGCCAGTTAGGTTTGCGGCCCAATTGGACGACTACGCGAAGTTGCTGATCAAGTACCTGGTGAAGACCGTCCTGAACCCACCCAAAGCCATTGCGTTTGCAGATGTCCAGGTCTTTGCTACGGCGTTCCGGGAGTTGGACAAGGTACCTGGCCTCTTGCCAGACACAGGCCGTGCAATTTGTGCTTTGGCAGCTTATGATATCCGGTCTCGAGGGGATTTGAGCATTTCGCTGAATCTGCAGCAGCAGACCATCTTCTACAAGAGTGATTTCTACAAATCCTTCATGCAGCACCGTGCTTCCGAAAGAATCTTAGCAGTCAAGGCCAACGTCGCCGCGGACGTGGGCCAGAGGTTGGCGGCTGTCACCAGCATCCTCGAGGACGGGAACTTGACGGATCACCAGAAGGAGGACTTGCAGTTTGCCCAAACGATTTTTGGCGCGGCCTCGGAGGAGACGAAGCTGGATTTCTTGATGTCGCAGGCATGGCTGAGTCATTCCATTTTGAGCATAGTCACAAGTGAAAAGTTGTTGTCGGTTGGTCGGGTGTTTCTACTAAGTGTTCGCACCATGCCCTGGTATTTATGTAAGCCAGAACGCTTGATGGCTTCTATGGGCACCCTTGAAACAAGAGTCTGTCTTTTGCCAGACACAGGCTGGCCGCCTTGACACCCTTGCCACTTGGGAGCCAACAGATGCTCGATTGCGTTTGAAACGGTTCCTGGACAAGACCAATGCTTGGAAAGATGCAGATCCAGCCCAGTTCCTGGATGACTGTTTGCGGCTTGTTAACACAGGCAGTGTTGCTCACATCCAGCACCCAGTTGTCCGCAGCTTGGTCGCCATGTTGGGGAAGCTTGTGGCTGCGTGCGGTGAGCACTCTTTGCTGCAGCGCTTTAGTCACCAACTTCTTTTGGAGTCTCCGCCGCGTCCATTAACAAGTTTCTCTCCGCTGCACATCGTGTTTCCAAGGTAAAGCTGTTTGCTTTGATATTTGGCGCTGGAAACCACATGCCTTAGGATTTGGCGTGCGTCAAGGTGGACTTGCCTTACCTTTCCCTAAAGATCTCTCCAGAGGAGCTTGCTGTTCCAGACCTTCAACCCATGCTGCAAAAGATGCTTGCAGTTGTATCCACGAAGGATTGGGTGCAGAGTGAGGGGAATCCGACCAATTATTTTCTTTTTAGTGCTGTTTTCCAAAGACATGTCCCCCAAACCCGATAGCTGGCCCACAAACACAGAAACCCTAAAGTACGCAGGACTTGGCTAGAGACGGCGAGGCCCTACGCTTCTTGCAACAATCCGTGAAGCCGGAAGCACCCGCAGGAAAAAAGCCGGCAATGCCTGAGACCGCGGAGAAACAAGGCGAGGCTGGAGACGGCGGGGCAGATGCACGCCAGGACCAAGAACCCAAGAGTCGACATGGATTTCCGGTGGGTAGCATTGTGATCACGACGTCGGTGAAGCACAAGAGTAAGTACCACAACCAACGAGCCGAGGTGGTCGCTGAGTTGACCCACGAGGTGAAAGTCCTTCTCCTGACCGGTGATGCGGACACGGAAGTAAAAAAGTTTAAGCCCGAGAACTTGAAGCTCGCCCCGCCAGAGGAGAAAGACACGGCAAAGCCCACCAACACCGCCGCGGAGCGTGCCCAGAATCTTTTCGCAGGGGACGACCTTGATGGATTGTGACACCACGCCCGTGGATCGAGCCAAAAGAGTTTTCTTGCATGGGAGCTGGGCCTGAGCTTTCCCAAGCTTGACAAACGTAGCTAACGGAAGAGTTGAAGCAGCCGACATGGGGCAACAAAGCAATCGCGCCCTACATAGTTTGAAATGTTCCTACGCAGGTAGTGAACGCTTGTTGATGTTGAGAAGCAAATCTTGTGGCGGTTTCTTGTTTGCGCCAAGCTAAGCCGCTATTCACCGCTAATTGCCGCTAACTGTCGCTAATAGGAACTGCCTAAGACGCCTGCAAGCCTCCAACAGTTGCTACTTAAAAAAGGTTTGTGGCTGAGGAACGCCGGGGTTTCTCAGGACGCCAACTTGGTTGGGTGTTTCGGAAGACCGGCAGTGAGATTTTCTTTTCAGGTTCCTTAGCTTTTTGGATATTTTTCGTTGGTTTAGTGGTTGGGCGTCCATTTAGCGCCGGCAAAAAGGTGAAAACTGGAGCTTGCAGGTTTTAGTGCAGGTTCCCACTTACCAGGGTTCCATGTTGGGTACGTGTTTTTGACCCACAGCCATATTCTTTTCAGGTGGCTTCATCGGATCACTTGGCTTTAGTTGGTTCCGAAGAACGCAGGAGGCTCCTTCCTGGCGCGGAGGAAGTGATGCCCCGGAGGCACGAATTGGGTTTTCAAAGGTGGGGTTCCCCGAAGGGTCGCGCAGTGGGCCGGGGGTGCTCCCCTAGAAGTGAACGGAAGGAACCCATGTCTCCCCAACAGCTGAAAGCTTTGGGGTCCGGGGCGGCCCTGAGGTAAGGTTCCCGTGGAACCTTACCTCCCTCCATGCATCCATCGGTGAGAGAAAAAATGACCAGCGGCGCGCGAAAGCCGGTTTCGGGCTTCGCTTGTTGGTTTCTTGAAGGCTCTTTGCGAGTGTTTGTGTGCCCAAAAAGCTGGGTTTCTCATGTGCGGAACACCAAAAAGGCACAACGAAGCCTGGATGGAGTCTTTGATTTAGAAGCCCCACCCGCGCAAAGAGACCCGCGACGTCCGTGGATCCAGCGCTTGGAACGGGAACAACTCGGTCCCGCGGTCCAGCCGAAGGAGATTTGATGTGGAAGCCCCAAGGACGTGGAAGTCGGAAGCAAACGACAAGAGCAGGCCCAATGCCGGTTCAAAGGTTCAGTTGAAAGCATTAAATCGAAAGGGGGTGAGAATATAACCACCATGACTTGAAAACCCAAGGAGTTTCACTCCTCCAAACTTGGTTCCTTGAATGGGGGAACAATTTTGGCCAAAGTATGGATGCTTTTTTTGTTTGGAGATGCATACAAGGGCCACAACCCAAAGGCTCTTTGGAGAAGCCCAGCCAGTGTCGCTGCCGCCCGTCGCGCATCGCATCCCATGGCGAAGAAGCCACCGCGCCGGGGACCCAGTTGGACCAGGGTCCAGGGGATGTGGCGCAAGGAAGACTGGGGTCCAGGGCTGGTCTCCAAATCGGATAGGATGAGCGTCCTTGTGCTTAAAGAGCAATGGACAGCGAAACACCGAGTTTGTGGCCTTTTTCATGAGACCGGGGCATTCGGAAACCCGTCTATTGTTCCGAGTCGCCTATGCCCATCCGTCAAAGTTGAGATTTTCTGACAGGGGACTCTTCTTTGGTGCATTTTGCCAAGGGATGTTTGTGACTTGAGAACTTTTCGCCAACTAAGTCGGGTTTCCGAACTAAACCACTAAAAGTTATTCACTTTTAGCAGGGGAGCAGAAAGCAGCAGAGGTGTGGAGGGTTCCACGATTTTTAGTTTCTAGAGCCACATCGAGCTGTTTAGAATGTTGGAGACTCCGAAAAGTTCGGGCATGTCTATTTTGGAGTGTGCTGATGAGTCTAGTCTTGTGGGGTGGGGTTTTGCGCGGGAAGCGGAGCCGATGGACGCGCCAGTCCCCGACAACGTGATCCCTTTCCTGCGGATCACTGTGCCAGGGCCCAGGTGGATGGGCGGATGGCAAGCGTCTTTCTCAGGCACCAAGCAGGGCGTTTTGCGGTATTCGCCATTGCGGGCGTGCGGATGGCAAGCAGCAGGCAGACCCCCTTTTTGAGGCACATCCAGACACGTTTGGAGCGTGGACACCCTTGTGTGTCCATGCTTCAGATGTGTTGGATGTCTTGAATAGTGGATCCCAACAATAAGAGAGAGCGAGAGCTGCAACACCGACCAATAGAAAAGAACAAGGACTGAGAGAATAGAACAACGACTCGAACAGCAAGCCCAACAAACGGAGTGCGCTGAAAAGAAAAGAGCCGCGGTGCCTTCCGTGCCCCATCGAGGATCGGGGATGCGGACAGCGGCAAGAGCAGCCGGGGACCTTGATCTGGGCCAAGGCAAGGGTTGCCACTTGGGTGCGAAAGACCAACGGCAGGTAAGCGGGTCAGACTTGCTATACGGGGGCTGATCACCCCAGTTGCACCGCTTGTAACCATGACGAAGTGACCTACACCTGACGTTGGTTGAGCATCCAAGCAGATGTGAACTTCGGGTTCCGGCCCCCGAAAGCAGATCGTTTCCTTGCGTCGCCGATAAAAACATCACGCCATCAAAGGGAAACTCACCGTTCATTCCACTGCCACAAGTTGAGTTCCAGAGACCCATGTCCTTTTTTGGAGGGGCATTTTTTTTTCTTCGTGAGGGTGCCCTCCCATCCACTCAGATGGAACCCGCCAGGGGTCTTCCCGACCCTTTGGAGGCCAAGGGAAAGCTGGATTTCTCAAACTTGGAGATCAAAAGTTCATTTTCCGCCTGCGCCAAACAACGCGGGCTCAGCCACAAAGGCTCGGACTCGGATTTTCCGAGTCGCTGGACAGCCACATCTTGCCGCTGATCCCGATCCCAGTCCGAAATGGAGACGCTGCAAACCCCCTCTCCGAGCTGCTTGAGGTAGCTGTCAAGAAAGTGGAGCCGACATGGCACCTTGGCAAATGGAACTCAAAGACTAAAACCCGCGGTTTGCCCCAGCTGAATTTTGAGCAATACCCAGGTCTGATCAACGCCTGGGTGAACAACACCTGCTCTTCGGCCGGGCTGCCGAGTGCCGAGCGACTCAAAGCGAGCGCTGGCGAAAAACGCCCGTCGCGGGCAGAAGGGAGGGTGTGCTTGGGCTTTCCTTGGAGTGGGGACCTGTCTTTTTGGTGGGTTCAAGGGCAAATGGAAAACACAAATCATTTGGGGGGTCCCCTACACCACGCCACACCCATGTCCCCCCTTTAAACAAAAAAAAACACAAACACAAAAAAACACAAAAACAAAAAAAACACAAACAAACCAGTCTCTGGGGCCCTTGTGAATCAACTAGGAGCCTGTCAATCAACACTCTCACCATCCCAGCCCCATGTGAAAGTCGGACAGCTGCCTCATTGGGGTGGATTCCACCCTCTTCTCCGTCTTTTCCAGAGGTGTCCTTTTTGGTTGATTTGGTTGAAAAATGGAGGGCTCTGGTTTACCTGGTGGTTCAATCAAATACCATATTTTCCCAAAAAGGGCACCTATGGTCTTGTCCGGAAGGGTTTCCCTTCAAAGTCACGTAGCCCGATGGGATGGTTTGCCGCCTTCCGAGGTCTACACGCCGACGCTGGACCCTTTGCTGTACCACAGGCGGGAAAGGGAGGAACTGTTATGTTTTGTGCGCAGTTTTTGGGACGTGTGCAGGTTTTGGGAAGATCACTGAGAGCGGCGCACAGTGCCCAGGGTTTTGCACCGGGTTTGTTTTCCAGAATTGATTGGTGTCTAGAGCTTGATGGAACTGAGCGAAGCAGCTGCATCCTAACCTCCAAGCCGCCAATTCAACTGGGGGGCGGGAGAACCTTCAGGGTATGTGGCGCTCACCTTCTCAGATGTTCGAGGCGCGGCACCTTTCATTTTCCACGAAGGAAAGTTGACCGCTGTTTGAATCAGGTACCACCACAAGTCAATGTCATTCCTGCCTTGGCCCAGAACCCCGAACGGAGATTTCTACAAGGCAGGCAAACAAGCTGCATGAGCGAAGGGCCCAAAAGAGATCAGAGGGAGTCAGCGAATCAGCTAGGTTGCCAACACTAAAGGTGGGTTCCAGGAGAAACGAGCACCCAATGAGGGGGGGAGGACATGAGACCGTGCCAGGAGCATGAAGATTCCAAACCCCCTGGAGGAGGGGGAGATGGTGACCGCCCTGGTGGAGCCAGAGCCCTCAGAAAAAGCTTCTGAGAGCTGTCGGAAGAAATCGCCATTTGGGAGCTAGGGGTATCTGAACATCTGCCTTAAAAGAGGGAGCTAAGGAGCTACCGATCGGAGTTCTGTAACGGTCGCTTGCCACTTTCGAAAGTGGTTCCTTTTGCTTCCCTGTTGAAGAAGCCCCGAAAGCCAATCAGGTGACCGAGGAACGTAGTTGACCTTACAATATGCCACCTGTGGCATTGCTAGAGTGGCTGGTGGGCCATGCCCACGATCAGCAAACCTTTGCATGCTGCAGGCTTCATGTTGTCATCCTCAACTCTTTTTGGTTGCCTGACTAGCCTCCAAAGGCACCCAAAATGCACACCCGTGGTCGTTCACGTGACTTCCCTATCACGCGGTTCATGATCATCCCTACCTGTTACGTGAATCTCCCTGTCAAGCCCACCAAAAAGGACACCAGGACCTGTGGTCTCAGCGGTTTTTTGGTTGGCCCATTGAACTCAGGAGCAAACTTTCTTCGTCTGTCTGAGACGTCTCAGCTTTGGGGGAGCCCTTCGGGGGTGTCTCGACTCGGGGGGTACCCCAAAGATGGGCTGCGAGGCTCCTTTCGGCTTCCCTTCCGCTCGCTCGGCGATTTCTTGGAGCCCAGTTTTTGGGGCAACTCGCCGGAAGCGCACCTCTCCTGGCTGGTTCCATAGGCAGGGAATGAGACATGGAATGCCCATGCAAGCCAGAAAAAAAGCAAAAAAAAGAGACAAGTTTTTGTTTGGTTTAAACAAACAAAATCCATCCTATGGTTTCCTTTAAAGGAGCCCCCTTCCGGTTCGTTCCCCAAGAAGCTCCCGGACTCGCTACGTCGTTCCCCACCTGAGCAGCGCTTGCTCGCGTCTCGCTCAAGTCTCGCTGGCGAGCGAGGATCGAGGACACCTATGCCCCGATCCGGACCGGCGGCATCGATATGTCTCGGCCTTGGAGCGTGGGGAGGGGTGCCCGGGGTGCGGCCAGTGGGAGGGGGGGAGGGGGAGGGGTGACCGTGGTTATGGGGTTGTCTGTCAGAGCCCCATAGGTTGGATGGCGAGAGTCAACCTGGCTAGGGCTTGGAAGCGTGCAGCGGCCAGGGAGTACTGAATGGTTGGCACCATTTCTGTCTTGTTTGGAGGTGATGCCTGTCTTTTGGTGGTTCCGGGAAGCCAAGATGACACCCACCATGAGGAAACCAGTCGATTTCGAAATCGCTGCTTCGTCAGGACCTTTCGTCAAATATTGATCAGGTGAACCATGGTCCCCTGAAAGGCGAGTTGACTCAGAGGGTTGGCGTTGCACGGAGAAAATGAGACGCGGTGAGGTCTGTTACAACCAGAGGAAACCTGGTTGAGGGCGCTTAAATCCCGCCCTTGGAAGATACCCGAAAAATACAAAGATAGTACAGGCTGGCTTGAACTCTGGGTTGGGAATTGAAAGTCTGGCGAGGTACGGTCAGAAGCGGGACATCAGCGATCTCTTGGAGGCGCCCTCGGGAGGATGCTTCCCTCGCGAAGCCAACAGATCGCACAGTGTCGACCCGTGTTTAAGCACTGTGTGTTTCGGAAGCGCAGGAGCGTTTAGGAACTCATCTACAGATGAGGAGCCTTTTTTCTCCCGTTGTATTTAGAGAACATATTTGATTCGCTTAGGAAGACGTTGGAGTTTTTGCAGCTTTGGCTTTGGTTCAACCAATTTGGCCATGGGTCATAACCTATGCCTCCATTTTGGGGCGGATGAACACCCATGTACCACCTACTTTGATGTTCACCAGGAGTACCAGGAGTTTTGACCCACTGCCATTTGTGTTTCCTTGGTGCCTCCCAGCCATCCCCTTAGCTTTTTTTGCTTTTTAGCGTTCAGTGGAGATTTTCCCATTTAACCCAGTAAAAGTGCGTCACTTTTAGCGGAAGATCTGACAACGGACAGCCCAGTTTCAACCAATTTGGGAACCTCAACCCTCAGGCCACGAAAATGTGGTTGCACCGGACTCGACGAGGTGAAGCCTCCGCCCCGCGAGCCGGTGGTGACGCCCCAGTACTACGGCCCCTTCGCGGAGTACGAGGCGACCATGTGCCGATGATTTTCCCAAGGGGCTTTCCGCGTTTGGACTTCTTTTGCTCCACGTTTATTTTTCTTTCTCCTTTATATATATATATTAGATATATATATATATATGTATATATAAACAAATGAAAAAAACTCCAAAAAAGAAAACAATAAACTATTTTTTTGGGTGGTTGTTATTTGATATCTGGGCATGAACATGGCCTTCAATCAATTTGGGGGATGGGCATTGGAGGTTTGTTCCGCTTGGGAATCGACCATGTGGTTCCTTTCTGGGTTGCAGTTGGGTTCCTGTTCTCAAACAAGGGGGCCCTACGATTCTTTTGGGGGTAGGCCTTCATTTTGCTTGTCCTTGGGCGAACGGGGCGAACATCTGAGTGCCAGTTGGACTTGTTCCTCCTGCTTTTTGCCTCATTTTCCCACGAACAGCCGGTGCACCGCCAACTCCCCAGGCGCTCTCCGAGCTGCAGCGGGGGAGCCCAGTGGCGATGGAGTTCTTTCTTTTTTTAAATTTAAATAAATAAATAAATTTTGGAGGCCATTGGTGGCCTTGGGGCTTGGTGCCCGGTGGTTTGCCTCGGAAGCTGATTACTATCTAGTGGCTGGAAGGGCTCGATCGACGCGTGAGACAGGGAGCTTGGGGTCGCCGAACACTTGCCTACTTGCGGGGAGCTACCAATCGGAGTTCTGGTTCGGGACATGGTAGTTGAGGGCAAGCCAAGGCGAGAGGAAAGCCGAAGCCCACTATGGGAGTGAGAGATTCCCAGCATCCTTTGAGACAAGGCCGTGTTACATCTTTTTGCGCCTCTTTATGCGGGTTTACACCTTTCAGGTATTTTAAGTTACCCAAACAGGACCCAGGGAAAAGAAGGTGAAAGTAAATGCGGCTGCATACCCTGCCTGAAACAGATCTCTTTCAGACCATTCTGACGTTGCCAACATCTTTGGATTTCGCTAAAAGTGACCACCCTGGCCGGTAAACCCCCTCAGTTGGGAGAAACTCCTGGCTTTGGTTTCCCTTTCACAACACCTTTCGGGGGAGTTTTCCTTGTGGTTTCCCTTGTGTTGTGGGGTACCCCAAAAGGAGAAGCCCATATGAAGCATCACGGTTCACACTTCCGTTCTTGGGGCGTGAGGGCTTTGGTACCATTTTTTCCGGCGGGAAGGGAACTCGATCCATTTTTTGGCTTTCCCTGCTTTGCTCACATGCCCATTTTTTCAGAAACTCGATGAGCAAGATCAATCTGCATGGGCCATGGGACCCTAATGGGAATGTCTCTTTTTTAGATCCCCTTGGTTTCCCGTTAAAGCCAACCACAAAAGAGATACCAACTCCGCAGAACCACCCTCGTCGACTCTTTTCTTCTCAGGTATGAGCCTTTGTCCCGATGCAGGCGCGGAAGGAAAAAAAACAAAACAACAACAACGCTGGGGTTTCCCAGCGGCGAAGTTGCGCCAATTTTGAAATTGACAGACACAGACTTGTGGTACTTCCCACAGGAAAGTAGTCTGATTCCACACTTTGGAGGCAAAGACAAGCTGAGCGGAAGCAACAGCAAGAACAGCATCACTTTCTCCGATTGGGGAACCAACAAGTGGTTGCTGTGCTTTTTCATTTGGCCAGCCCCAAACTCCCTAAAGGTCGCGATTTCTCAGTGCTCAGAGACCCGGACCCCGCCCCAACAGTTGGTGTCAAGCTCCTGAGGCCTGAGACCAGAGTGGGTGGTTTTTCCCTTTTCTCCCTGCAAGAAGTTGTGCTCGGAGAGGCTCAGGAGTCCAGAAGTTGATCAAAGAACTGGAGTTTCATTCGGAGTTCAAGAGGAGAGGGTTGTTTGGTTTTCGGATCGATGGGATCTTTGGGGCATGACACCAAATGGGTTCGGAACGGAACATCAGCACCTAAAGCATCAGAGAGGGGAACAGAAACCACAAAAACAACAGGATACTGTGGACGGACAAAACCTGCACCACTTGGAAACCATGGGAAACCACTGTTTGTTGGTATTTACAGGGGAATCATCCCTCCAGAGCCTCTTAGGCGGTGCAGGATTTCGTCCATCCACAGTATTTCCGGAAAAGAAAGAAAAGTCACCTGTGGTCAAACCTGGGTGCCCGGCCTTGAAGATGTAGCTCAACCCCCATGTTCGCCTCATTTTGGGATAAAAGGCGTGAATCACCTTGATGAAATGAGATGAATGCCTGATCTTCCGATCTTCCCAACTCAACGGGGGAAGAGTTTCCAATCCTTGGCCCCGGGAAGATGGATCGACTCCCCATTTCGCGTTCGGCGCAGGGCCGATTTTTTCGTTTTCGGATGGGAGCGGCCATCCGAAGGTTTTTCTTTTTCTTCCCTTTTGCCCGCCTGGGGTTCTTGGGCCCCTCGCAAGTGGCTCGACAGTTGGAGGAATTCCCATGTTTGTATATTTTAAGATAACAAACTTCATGAGGGCACCTGTTCTTCGTTTTTTGTTTTTGATTTTTTCATGAGAGCAATCCTTGTCGGGTTGGTTGAAACGGGACACCAACGGGAAGCCACCCATTTTGGAGGTCCAACTTTGTTTTGGGTCGCGGTGGCTTCCCATTACAACCCAGATGAGGCTGATTTTAAGGATTTCACTTTGCACCCAGTACCCCCACGATAAACATGAGGTTCAACAAACAGGTCCCTCATGAACATGTTTCTCAAAAGGTGAAACCATATCAGGGTTCCATGGTAGTCGGGAGGGGACTATCCTCTAAAAGAAAGGGAACTAGCAGCATTCTGCATTCCAACGCTCGCACTCAAGCAAATCGCACAAAAACCAGACTTAGTTGTTTTGTAGAAATTCGAGACCAGAAGCCGTCATGCAGATCTTCGTGAAGACCTTGACGGGCAAGACCATCACCCTGGACGTCGAGGCCAGTGACACCATCGACAACGTCAAGGCGAAGATCCAGGACAAGGAGGGCATCCCGCCGGACCAGCAGCGCCTGATCTTCGCAGGCAAGCAGCTGGAGGACGGCCGCACGCTTTCGGATTACAACATCCAGAAGGAAAGCACCCTGCACTTGGTGCTGCGGCTGCGAGGTGGCATGCAGATCTTTGTGAAGACCTTGACGGGCAAGACCATCACCCTGGACGTCGAGGCCAGTGACACCATTGACAACGTCAAGGCGAAGATCCAGGACAAGGAGGGCATCCCGCCGGACCAGCAGCGCCTGATCTTCGCAGGCAAGCAGCTGGAGGACGGCCGCACGCTTTCGGATTACAACATCCAGAAGGAAAGCACCCTGCACTTGGTGCTGCGGCTGCGAGGCGGCATGCAGATCTTCGTGAAGACCTTGACGGGCAAGACCATCACCCTGGACGTCGAGGCCAGTGACACCATTGACAACGTCAAGGCGAAGATCCAGGATAAGGAGGGCATCCCGCCGGACCAGCAGCGCCTGATCTTCGCAGGCAGGACGGCCGCACGCTTTCGGATTACAACATCCAGTGCACTTGGTGCTGCGCTGCGAGGCGGCATGCAGATCTTCGTGAAGACCTTGACGGGCAAGACCATCACCCTGGACGTCGAGGCCAGTGACACCATTGACAACGTCAAGGCGAAGATCCAGGACAAGGAGGGCATCCCGCCGGACCAGCAGCGCCTGATCTTCGCAGGCAAGCAGCTGGAGGACGGCCGCACGCTTTCGGACTACAACATCCAGAAGGAAAGCACCCTGCACTTGGTGCTGCGGCTGCGAGGTGGCATGCAGATCTTCGTGAAGACCTTGACGGGCAAGACCATCACCCTGGACGTCGAGGCCAGTGACACCATTGACAACGTCAAGGCGAAGATCCAGGACAAGGAGGGCATCCCGCCGGACCAGCAGCGCCTGATCTTCGCAGGCAAGCAGCTGGAGGACGGCCGCACGCTTTCGGACTACAACATCCAGAAGGAAAGCACCCTGCACTTGGTGCTGCGGCTGCGAGGTGGCATGCAGATCTTCGTGAAGACCTTGACGGGCAAGACCATCACCCTGGACGTCGAGGCCAGTGACACCATTGACAACGTCAAGGCGAAGATCCAGGATAAGGAGGGCATCCCGCCGGACCAGCAGCGCCTGATCTTCGCAGGCAAGCAGCTGGAGGACGGCCGCACGCTTTCGGATTACAACATCCAGAAGGAAAGCACCCTGCACTTGGTGCTGCGGCTGCGAGGCGGCATGCAGATCTTCGTGAAGACCTTGACGGGCAAGACCATCACCCTGGACGTCGAGGCCAGTGACACCATTGACAACGTCAAGGCGAAGATCCAGGATAAGGAGGGCATCCCGCCGGACCAGCAGCGCCTGATCTTCGCAGGCAAGCAGCTGGAGGACGGCCGCACGCTTTCGGATTACAACATCCAGAAGGAAAGCACCCTGCACTTGGTGCTGCGGCTGCGAGGCGGCATGCAGATCTTCGTGAAGACCTTGACGGGCAAGACCATCACCCTGGACGTCGAGGCCAGTGACACCATTGACAACGTCAAGGCGAAGATCCAGGATAAGGAGGGCATCCCGCCGGACCAGCAGCGCCTGATCTTCGCAGGCAAGCAGCTTGAGGACGGCCGCACGCTTTCGGATTACAACATCCAGAAGGAAAGCACCCTGCACTTGGTGCTGCGGCTGCGAGGCGGCATGCAGATCTTCGTGAAGACCTTGACGGGCAAGACCATCACCCTGGACGTCGAGGCCAGTGACACCATTGACAACGTCAAGGCCAAGATCCAGGATAAGGAGGGCATCCCGCCGGACCAGCAGCGCCTGATCTTCGCAGGCAAGCAGCTGAGGACGGCCGCACGCTTTCGGATTACAACATCCAGAAGGAAAGCACCTTGCACTTGGTGCTGCGGCTGCGAGGCGGCATGCAGATCTTCGTGAAGACCTTGACGGGCAAGACCATCACCCTGGACGTCGAGGCCAGTGACACCATTGACAACGTCAAGGCCAAGATCCAGGATAAGGAGGGCATCCCGCCGACCAGCAGCGCCTGATCTTCGCAGGCAAGCAGCTGGAGGACGGCCGCACGCTGGATTAACATCAGAAGGAAAGCACCCTGCACTTGGTGCTGCGGCTGCGAGGCGGCATGCAGATCTTCGTGAAGACCTTGACGGGCAAGACCATCACCCTGGACGTCGAGGCCAGTGACACCATTGACAACGTCAAGGCGAAGATCCAGGATAAGGAGGGCATCCCGCCGGACCAGCAGCGCCTGATCTTCGCAGGCAAGCAGCTGGAGGACGGCCGCACGCTTTCGGACTACAACATCCAGAAGGAAAGCACCCTGCACTTGGTACTGCGGCTGTGATTCATTTGCCATTTACGTGGTCCTGTGGCTTTTCTTTGAATGTTTGGTGGCCATCAGGACGGCGCCGGAATTCGATTTGCTTTGCTCTGAGAGGAGTTGCACGGACGGCACCCCGAGCCCTATGCGGCCTGTACAGCGCGCCCACTCCGTGCCCCATGATTTGACGTTTCCGGGCAGTCGCCTAAAAGCCCATTTTTTTTTCCGCTCTACTTTGCCAAGCCATTATGGGCGAGTTCTGGGCGAGTTCTGGGTATGACTTGCCACCAGGATGGGATTCTTGCTGGTCTTTGACTGCACCATCGAGGAGAGGCTCTTTCAAACTGCGAGGGTCCACCATTTTTTGCCATGGGCTAACATGGCTATTGTGTGGGAAAACCATTGACCACTCCATTTGGCTGTTTCTGTCTGGGGGCTTCTGAAAATAGGCGACCCTACAAACTGTTGGTTTCCTATTCGACTCCCTGTAAACACTAGCCTAATTCCATGGTTGTCGTTGGGACACATTTTACACATTTGCTTGTTGCGGTTGAGGGTTGAACTCCCCAAACTGCTCAGACATATATTTTTGCTCCCCCTTCCAACGTCAAGCAAGCAAAGGGGCCCACCATGTGAGAAACCGCCGTTGGACGAAATGAGAAGGCCGGCCTGAATTCTTGGCTGCTGTTGGGCAACGGATCGTTAGACTTAACAACTTTTCGCTTGAAATCAAGTTGTGTTTTCCGTACTAAACCCCCAAAAAGTGACACTTTTTGCAGGGGGGGGCTAACAGCAACCAAGAGTTCAGCAGCCTGCTGGCTCCGAAGACGTCATCGATCCAATTGAGAGCCGCGTGACTCATGTGAGGTCAAAGTCACGGACTCCTGTGGGTGTGGGTCAAAATTCAGCCAGGAATTGGACCACAGGTTTTTTCGTCCTTATGTCCATTTACCAGGGCAAGCCATTTTGGGCACCCTATTTTTGACCCACATGTTTGGTTCTCTAGAGACTCAGGTTCTAAGAATTGCCTAAAGACCGAGCATCCACGCGCGCCCGTTGCTCCGATTGGGAAGCCAAGATGGGTTGAAGGATTTCTGTTGCAACTTGCCTTTGCCAGGTTGCCACATGGGTACGGGTCAGCGTATCGGGCCAATTTGTTGCGGTTCCAGTGTCCGACCTTACTTGGATGGGGCGGGAGCGGGATTTCTTTGAAAAGTAGCTCCACCTCCAGGTTCGATAATCGAACTGCGTTCCCCTGCTAAAATAGACTACAGAAAAAATAGACTAAGACAAAAAGTTGGTACCACCTTCTTCGAACCTCTCAAATCTGGAGGACCTAGTTGGAAACCCCAAAAGCGGATACTGATTCCATGCGAATCGCAGCCTTCTGACCTTGGGGTAAGGCACCTTGGGGCATGGGGCTTTGCCCAACCCCACCTTCGCGGGAGGAGTCGCTGAAGACGGCCATGGAGCTGTTCAACAGCATCTGCCTGCAGTCCCCGCCCGGCGCTCGGAGGGATTTTTTCCAAGGCGTGCCTCGGGTGTGTGAGGCGAGTCCACCCCCGTTTTTTTTGCTCATGGGTTTTTTGGTGTCTTTTGGTTCAGCACTACTGGGTTTTCCAGTTTTCTTTTTTTGATATTCACTTTGTTGTCTTGAACTCCTGGACAGTTTTCTTTCCAGGGGACTTGAGCAACTGGAGTTTCTTTTTCTTTTGTTAGGCAGCTTCCTTGTAAGCTCGACCAAAAAAGACGCATTTCCGAAATCCCTTTTTGGCCAAATCGAGCAGGCCGCTGCAAGTGTGGGGACGCATGCTGGCTATGTTGAAATCACAGTGTCCGTTTTTTGTTTTGTTTTTGACAAGTCAACTCCCACGCGACATATTTTTTGACGGGCTTCATCCCGACCCCATCCATTTTTTCCTATGAGTGTGAGTCGTTGCTTTTTTTGCCTTGGGGTTGTCGTGAGCCCTGCAAGCCGCGAGGACCAAGTCGAGTGTGCCGCCGGGGGCCGTAGCTACCGGCGGCTGGGGGTGCCTAGGGCGGGAAGCCTTGGCCGGTTGGAAGGTAATGTTAACCCCGGATGAAGCCGAATCCCTGGTTGATTAATCGGGGGGTGTCCCCCTCTGGGATTCAGACCACTTTTGGAGGGAACACCATAAGAGAGGGACGGGTCAGTAGCCAAGGAGGTGCCTTCAAAGAGGGAGCTGAGGAGCTGGGAGTTCTGCAGGGACATGGTAGTTGGAGTAAATGAGTTTGCCCATGGCTCACTTGGCTCCATTTTTTTCTTCTCCCGGATCAATAAACCTGCATAAGGCATGGATTGGAGGTGTTTGCGGCCCGATTATCTCACCGGCTTCTGATGTATCAACCGGCTTCGGCCACTGATCCGATGGCAATCCCGCGATCGCGTTGGCTCAACAGCTTCTCAGCGTTGCGTGGATCGACCTTATTTGCGCGTCAGTACGTCTGAAAGGCTTCTTTTGGCAGCGACTGCACCGACCGCGCGGCGGAATTTTCATGCTTTTCCGTTTCGGCCTCGCCGTAGCAGATTTTGAGGTCGCCCTTAGTTGTTTGGGTAAATGGGAAACCACTCCACCAAACCAATCCCAACCACCCTTTTCGCATTTTCTTTGGTGGCGTCCAACCCAGACTGCCGCAGTGCCCATAACAGGCGTTGTCCTACCTTGGCAGCCATCCCAACCTATGCCGTGATAAGCTCGTATGACGTGCCTGCGAAGCATCGACTGCGCTTCCCCAAATTTACTCCACCGACTTGGGGGCTTCGGATCACTCAGAGCTGAGACTCCATGCAGAAAGCCCTTGGTCTGAGACTCCATTCAGAAACCACCCCCCCAGTGGCTTTGATACTCCCAAGGCAACATAATGACCGCTTCCAAGGGAGAAATCGGGTTTTTGGGGCCTCTTCCAGGCAGTCTGAAAGCCCTAGGAGGGGCGGACTCCCCAGAGCAAAACCGACAAAAAAAATAGACCAAGGCTTCCTCGAATCTTCCGGAACTTCCGAAATATCTCATGCCCATCTTTGTGGAGAGATGTTTGGTGGGTTGAACAAAACTCGTGGGTGGAACAAAACTGGCCGCTCGATCTCGCCGGGTTTCGGTGCCATCGGACCTTCGCCCGATGGCGTCGACCGCGCTGCGCGGCCTTTTGCTGCTGGCGCTCCGCGGAAAGGCGCTCAGGGGGGGGGGGGGGAGGGCGACTGCTTGGCAAACCTTGGGCTCTCAAGGAGTCAGACACCCTCTGATAGAGCTAGGGCCTTCGAGCATTTGTCGATGTTCGATTTTGGAGCTCATTTTTTGATAGGGAGGTGTGGTTTGGGAAAGACCGGTTCGATTTGCCTACTTGACACGTTTTTCGCTAGCATCCCCCGAAGGCCGACTAGGCCCTTCTCACCCCTTTCTTGGGGGAGGGTTCCCCTACTAAAATTGACCACAGAAAAAACAAATCGGGTACCCTTTTTCTAACCTCTCTACTGGAGGACCCAGTCAAGAGAAATCCTGGCTGAAAAACCAGCAGAGAACCGGCCCTTTGGGCGAGCCTCTGGGATCCGCACTTTGATAGCCAGATGTTCCGGATCCAACATCAGGCAAGTGGGAAACTTATGGTTACCTCAGAAAGGTCCTAAGAGCACTGCTCTTTTTCCTTAGAGCACCTAGTTATAGCTCTGGTTATAACGGGCGATCGTCGCCTTCTAGCCATGGTGAAGCAACCTACTTGCCTGACGTTGGTTGAACACCCAAGTAGGAGGGCAGAAGTCTGGGAGGAGTGGATCAAAACAAAGTATGGTTGATTCCCGAAACATAGGTGGCCCGACCACATCCAGCCCTAAAATGCCGGGAAACAAAAACCAAAAGCAGGCTGCTCCCGACTTGCCCCCGACTCGCAACTTGAGACATTTTATAACAAATGTGCTCCAGATAGTCTCGTGGCTCCTATTGTTCCACCTGCGGTGGCGACTTGTCCCCAATGTGCGTTTTGGTTTTTAAAAAACGTCTCTTCCACATGGCCACGGTTCAAAACCAATGGTACCATTTGGGGATAGGCACCACCCATTTTAGTCTATTTTAGTGGGGATGGGGATGTTCACTGGGGGTACTGCGTCAAAACCCACCCATGGCCACATTGCCTCAAGGTTCCTTTTCCAGATTGCCTGGCCGGCCGGATTCCGGATCTGTTCGGTCTGTCTGAAAAACTCGGAACCTGCGAAAGGGTGAGTCTCCTTTTGGTTTCCCGTGAAAGCAACCCAAGAAGGGGCAGCCTCACAAGACGGCAGAAGCATTTGAGTGCAATCCATGCGCTTGACACGTGGCTCGTCTTCAGGCCTTGGAGCCTTTGCCGCAGGCCGGGGATCAATCGGGATCCATCGCCCGTCGGGCGGTTGGTGTTGGGCAGTGGACTGTTACTTTGAGGAGCACCACATAGGAGGAGCCCCGCATTCTCCCAACAAAACCAAGAGGGATGGGGCGCACATTTCCCATTCCTTGCTTGGGGGGACAAAGGGTATTGTCCGGGGCTCACATGTTGAGATCGCATCGTTTGCTGAAAAGATGGCCAGATGGACCTGCTTGGTGTCCACAAGGCCTTAAGCTGAGGTTGTGGGTATTTTGGTGCAGATTGAGCTGGTTGGAAGCGCTTCCATTTGCTGAAATGAATACAATTTGTTGAACGTTGGAAGCGATTTCTCTGCTGGAGATATTTTCTCGCATTCTTTCCGGGCAGGTTATACGAGCCAACGTCCGCTTAGTTTGCTTAGAAATAAACGGGTTGCATCGCTTTAGAACTTGGTTTTCTGCCATCCATTTTACCATTTTTTTTTTTTAACAATACACATACATACATACATACATACATACATACATACATACATACATACATACATACATACATACATACATACATACATACATACATACATACATACATACATACATACATACATACATACATACATACATACATACATACATACAGCATACATACATACATACATACATACATACATACATACATACATACATACATACATACATACATACATACATACATACATACATACATACATACATACATACATACATACATACATACATACATACATACATACATACATACATACATACATACATACATACATACATACATACATACATACATACATAGACATACATACATACATACATACATACATACATACATACATACATACATACATACATACATACATACATACATACATACATACATACATACATACATACATACATACATACATACATATACATACATGACATACATACATGTACATGTACATACATACATATATATATATATATATGGTGCCCACCTTTTTGTCTGTCTTCACCGCAAATAGCATTGACACCAACAAACCGGTCGACTTGTTTTTTGTGTGTGGGGGGGGGGGGTTAGCATACATATACAGATATATATATACATGCAAATGCAGGGCTTGGCTTGTTTTTTCTTGTACACCTTTTTGACCCCTGTTGAGGAACCACCCCAGCTGAAGCCACGAGCTTAGGTCTCGCGTTTGGGACGGGGCTTTGGGACGTCTCGTGTCGGAAGTCGAAACGCAGGTGCGCCTTTTTGGTGAAATGTGGCTCCCAGCCATCCGGGTCCTTAGCTTTTTGGATTTTTTTTAAAGCTTTTTGGCTTTTTGGCTTTTTGGCCTTTTGGCTTTTTGGCTTTTTAGCGTTTTTTGGGGATTTCCGCTTAAGCCACTAAGAGTTAAGCCTTTGGTGGAAGATTTGAGGACAGGCCAGTTTGGTGAAATGTGGCGGAGGTTTTCAGGTGGCGCCGAAGTTTTCCGCCCTCTTTGAGAAGGCAACATCATGTCAAGCCATGTTTATCTTTCGTTTGACTCGAAAAAAAGAGCGAATCCTCTTTTTGTGGACCCAACCAGCCTGTCTGTTGCCTCAGCACCAACACTTCTCTCTTCGCGGCATCATTTTGGTTTTTGGTCCTGTTGATTAAATCAGGTTTGGGGGCCGCAAAAAACAAGCGGTGGGTTCTTTTTCGCAAGCCCACGATCCGGACGCAGGGAAGTGGCGCCGATGGGGCCGAGGGCCTGGTGCCAAGAGGGAACGAAACGGGTACGGCTCGTCTTTCTTGGACCCCCTTTCAACAAAGAACCAACACAAAAAAGACAGGCCTAGTTGGCCTGTGACATGCTCTTACTCCAGCTTTTGCGTTCGTGGCTCGATCTTGGTGTGCAAGATCATCACTCTGGATCAAACACGCACCGGGAAAAGACAAAGAAGTTGTGGCACAGCTGCGCGCGGATCCGATCTTTGTTTTCCCTGCTTGCCTCTTATCCCAGGTTAGGCATAGGATCACTCCTCAACGATCGAGGCTGGACAATTTCTAAGGCGATGATTCATGCTAGGTTTTAGGGTGGGTTTCGGGGGGATGTAGGGTAGGTTTCTGGGCTTTGGGTTTTGGTGGGTTTAGGTGGTTTGGGCTTAGGAGTGGGAAGGCTTTAGGGCAGGTTTCGGATTGGTTTTGGGCACGATGGAGGGAGGGTGGGTTTAGAGGGACCCCGAACCGACCAACTGACCGAAGTAACCCATCTACCAACCAACTGAACGACTTTCCCCCAACCCTCTCCCGCAGAACCAACCCAAAACCCGCCCTAAAGCCTTCCGAAATCAACCTTAAAGAGCCCAACCCGCCAAACAAACTGGAAAAAATCCAAGGCCCTTCTAAAAGGAAGTGGCAACAGTGGCACCGTCGTTCCTAGAAGGTCCAGCGGCGGCAGCGGTAGTTTGCAAGTTACGTCACCTTTGTCATACACGCTTTCGGGATAACCGGGGTCTAGTTCTATGGTTAGGTGGGCGTGTTCCAAATGCAGTTGTCCAACGGTAGCCAGAGTCGCAAGTCGTCAGTGCCGTCCTGCCTGTCGGAAGGCGATGCACGTGCTTGAGGGTGCAAGAGCGCAGGGGCGCAGAGCCGGATTGGGGGGAAG